TTGGAATAAATATATATATATATATATATATGTATATAATATATATATCGTACATATATGCATGTACACACACGTACATCTGCCGTCGGATGGATGGATAGGTATGCATCTATGTGTGTACACACACATATATTGTAGAGATAGGTAGAGCGGAGAAAAAGACAGAGAAACACTCACCGGGTCTGGTGGGAGTCTGTAGTCTGTGGATATTTCGCTGCTCGCACTCCGCTCCTCGGTCGACCTTTCCCAGTCCATCTCTTTTTTTAACGACTGGAAATGAACATTGGCCTCACGTCAAAGTAATAATTGAATGACGGCGGATGGGGCGGCGGGGGTGCATGGGGTGGGTTCCTTTGACTGGTGACCGGTACCAAAATTATTGGAACTTCGAGTTACAGTTTGGGGACAATGGAAAACGACTGTCTCCAACGTATGTTAACACGTTGATCGCCGCACGCTTTTATAGAGCAAAGTACACAAAATGGAAGAAATACAATATTAAAGAATCATTTGAATGAATTGGATTATTATCATTGCATGTTCGTCAAACTGAATGTCACCGCAGTGGGTAGCATTATTTATAATATAGAAATGTTTGTTATCTTTTTAGTGATTGCAAAGAAGACATCAGGAATGGCTCATTTTGACCTGTCTGATAGTTTTAGTATTAACACGTCCCACGGAAATTTCGATTTTGCTTATGCACAGTATTGATTTTTTAACTAAAGTAGTAAAATATATTGAAATTTCTAGTAATTTTATATATCTTGATATTATTTCTTTATGCTTTTTATCTTTGAGCATGTGTTCCTTGAAAATATGTTTCTACAAAAATTTACGTGTACCATATGTTGCACGTGGCACGGTGTTAATTGAGTGATGTACCATTTTTGGTAATAAATGTTTTATTTTCGTTTTGACTACATTGTACTGCTGGTACGAATGTTATTGTTATATAACTGGAATGGTTCCCAATTGGTGTTTCGATTGTTGTGAAGTTATTTAATAGCTACAAAAAACAGTAACATGTATTTTATTATTTATTTGATCATTTTTTAGTATTTTACTCGTATTCTGCTGTCAAACGAAAGTCTCGAAGGAAAGCGTCGAGAAAGAGGGACATTGATTTAAAGGAAATTGTACGGCTGTAACGATTTCATGAAACAGTTCTCGCGATATCGGTGCGCGGATAAATGCGGCGAAAATAAGGGTACGCGGAGAGCAGAAGTTGATAAAAGAAAGTGCATTTATAAATTAGTATTTAGGAAAAGCGTGTGTGCGCCAGAATGAGCAACTGGTGGCCGTGAGTGTGCCTGCACCTGTGTGCGGGGGAGGCTCTGAAAGTGGAGTTTAGAGCGGGAATTCAGAGAGGAAAGCGAATGGAACAAGCATCGAGAGTTCAGACCGTCTAGCCATAATCATTATGGAGAAAGATCAAAAGGAAAAAATTGTTGCTGTTTGTATTCAAATGGTGCTTATTAATGCAGCCGCGTACAACGTAGTCATGGTAAATAAAGCACTTTTAACCGTACATTCTTCCGCGCAACGAGAAATGTTATAAAAGTTACCGTGTTCGAAACAAAACCTGTACAACGTGCAGCGAAAAATGTTTCGTGGTTCTGACCGTCCTACAATAAAATCCAAACGAACGGAACAAAATATTTCTCGCGTACACGGGAAATTTTCAATCCGCAATGTGAAAAATAATTCCCCGCGATTTGCTTTACAATCCAAACAGTGCAGAAATTATCCAACCGAAATTATTGGAAATCAACTCTCGACAGTACTTTCCCCCAATTTACAACTAACAAAAGAAACCACTGAAATGAAAGATGATACTTCGCTGAATGTTCGTCTATATCCATGTTCCCTTTAACCTCTTGGACTATTTACGTCCGCTACTAAACTCGTGTTACAGAATTTTCTATTCTATTGTACTTGAAGTGGAAATTTCGTTTGAAGATAACACATTGATAATAGTAAAATAATTTGCTTTGATCCGTGGATAATGAACAATATTGATTGTTGTTCAATTGGTCTAGAAATCTTCATCGCGAGCCTCACTCGTCATTGTACGCCAAGGGGTTAAAGTATAACAATTGATAACAAGTATTATTTATTACTGTCAACTTCCATTTGAAATCTTCCTCGCAAGTGCAACACAGTATCGTACACCAAGAGGTCAACCCTTTGCATTCCTCAATTTAAGAATAATTCTATAGCATTAATTTTCATTGTGATGCAAAATGACATAACTGCTATAACATTGAAATTTACAAGCCACATTTTCGTCGATTTAATTCTATATAGCCTTAATCTTTTTAAATTATCATATACTTTAACCCTCGGGGTTCAGCATTTGCATTTTCTCTATTTTTGCTCATTAACCCAAATACCACGTGTGTTTATAACGAATCGTACCATAATGTGACTCTCAGTCATTTATGAGAATAAAAGGAATTAACACCAGAACCACTGAGCATTTGATACGATTGAAATGTAATCACTATATATATTGTAGTAATAATTATTTTCGGTTTCCTCGGATATTCATTACAGTATTCAAGTGAAACTATTTTCAAAATCATTCCGAATATTCAATGCATTGAAGATACCAATAATTGCGAAACAGAAAAACTGAAACCAGTCATTTCATAGCACGGTAGTTCTAGTGTTAAAATATTATTCCTTTTCTTTATAGAGCCCAAACTTGAAAAGCCCAGAAAAACGTCTGGAAACACGAATCAAAAGATCTAAGTAAACCGTTCAAATGCGACCAAAAGTCACATCGTGTTCATTAGGGTTAAAATTTGTACTCTCCGCGAGCGTGTCAAATGATTTCCATTGAAACGCATCCAAGTGCAAAGGGTGAACACCGAAGCCGTCGAATAAATAATAGAAAAATGATTTTCTACTCACAAGTGGAACTTGCTGAACCGGGGGCAGCCCGGACGGGCCCGCGAGAGGTTCGGTGCTGTGCGGTGAGGGTAGCCGGCTCTGCGGTAGGTTCAAAGGTAGCACGCCAGGCGTGCCGCTGGTGTTGTTGCTGAGGCTCATGTCCGAAGGACCGCTGTGTACCGAGATAGGGCTGAGAGAACCCCTCGTCTCCTCCAGGCTGGCCGCATCCTCGGAGTCCCTCCTGGGTCGATCGAGGGCTAAAGGTCCTGGACAGGGGCTGCCGGGTCCGGCGGGGGATGGCGGACACTCCGTCATGTCTACGGCGTCGGAGGGCTCGCTGGTTGTCGTTTGCGTGACGTTCTGTTGCGTTTGATCGCATTCTTTGCCGGCCAGCACTCCCGCGCTGCCGGACGCGTTCCCCTCCCTGTCCCTCTCTTTGCTCGACTCCTTTATGCTCTCGCGTTCCCGATGATGCTCCCGCGACGTCTCGCGCTGCAAGCCCTCGGACGTGCTCGTGTGCTGTTGCTGCTGCTGCTGCTGTTGTTGTTGTTGCTGCTGTTGTTGCGACTGCTGCTGCTGCTGTTGTTGTTGCGACTGCTGCTGCTGCTGCTGCTGCTGCTGCTGTTGCTGTTGCTGTTGCTGCGGCTGTTGTTGCTCGTCCCTCGACGCTACCGCCGCGTTGATGTTCGTCATGTCCGCTAGACCCTTCACCTTGAGGCTCTCCGCTGTCTTGAGGAGAGCCGATAGCTGGCAGTACTCGACGTTTACCTCGCCCTTGTACATGAAGTCGACGAGGGTACGTAGCTCGGCGAAACGTACGTCCTTTAGGATGACTATGGGGTGGCGGTTCGGGTGGTCCAGGAACAGGGCCTGGAAGTAGCTGGAGCACGCGGAGAGGACTACCTTGTGTGCGCGTATCGACGGCCCCTCCGTGCACGCCAGTGTCACGTCCACCAGCGACTCCGACTCCAGCAGTTGACTGAACACACCCAGCAGGTTGCTCTGATGATTGTTCCACCTCAGGCAGTAATGCTCACTTCCCATGTCTGAACTGCACCCCGCAACCCTGCTGCAGAAGAAACATTTGTACCGATCCGCTCGCTACTACACCGCGCTTGCTGCGCTCCGCCGCACGTCGTTCGGTGTTAAACGGCGTCCCCTTTTCTTTCGTCGTCATTTTTCAGGCTTTTCATATTTCTTTTCTTTGTCCCGGTGGTTTTTGTTTT